GTCATAACTGGATGATAGTGGTTAGAGGGTTGTTGTCATTTGGCATTAGTTGTAGGATCGTAGTCAAGAGATGGTGTTAAGAGAGTCGTAGTTGGGGGACAGAGGGCGGAGGACCAAAATTGGGCGACAATGGTCAGTGGGTTATAGTCAGACAACGATGGTTGGATGATTGTAGTTGGGCGATGGTGGTTAGAGGATCATAATCAGACGACAATGGCAAGATAATAGTAGTCGGACTGCTATGGTCAGAGGTACGAAGAGGTCTGAAGTCGTTCAATGGTGGTCAATGAACCATAGGTAAGCAATCGTGGTCGAATGATTGTATTCGGGCGATGGTGGTCCGCAGATTGAAGTCTAATGATGGCTGTTGACAATTTTGGTCAAGTGGAGGTCTTATAAAGGATATTACATGGCTGTTGGGCAATGATGGCGATTGAAAAGCGATGGTGCTTGGTTAGAACTCGGTGGAGTTGAGTCTAAGCTCCATAAATATAGATTTTTTAGAGTGACATGCCCTGTAAATATAGCTAAAATTTAGAATACTTCGTCGGAGGACCCATATTGATTCCCTTGATTTTGTGCTCTTTGGATTCGTCTAAGCATTCGATTTGACTTCGACCATGTAAGATTTGGAGATTGTCTGGTCATCCAATTAATGTCCTTAAGTTCTTAATAATGCTTGAACTGCCTGATCTTGATTCATTTAGACTTGAATAAAATTATTTTTGTTGTCGTTGAGTTCATCTCTTTGAGACATTCAATTCAAATATAAGTTTGTTGAAATTAGAGTTTGGATGGCCCTAAAAAGATGTTTCCAATTTAAATATTCATCAAGATTTTTTAGATCAAGCTGATTTTTTTATCACATAACAATATTAAATTTTCATTATTTTATTGTTATTATAAGCATAAGTGAAGCTAGAACCCATTATCCTATTAATATAATATTATTTAATTGTTCATTAATGTAATAAACAAAATTGAAGGCTAGTTATTATCCCTTGCGATTTAAACTTACTACTATGTTTTGAAAGGTGAGTTTAAAAAAAATGAGAACTCAATTTCATCTAATTCCAATCAAACAAATGCTTGAATTCACTTCATTCTAAAAGTGACATTCAATTACTAGAGATATTATTTTGTACGGGACGGGAAGAACCGTCCGGTTTTGTCTCTATGAACAGTAAAAGCGTAGTCAAAGAGCAGTACTATTCATCACTGCACTTTGACTGTGCTTTTACTGTTCACAGAGAAAAAATCGGATGATTCTACCTGTCTGGTGTCCGCACAAAATAAAAAATAAAAAATAAAAAATCCAATTGATGTGGGGTACTTACAATGAAACAAATTGATCCTTAAGGTTGATAGGATTTATTCACTACCATTTTCCAGTACATGATGGTTTGGGACACAACAAAATATTATGAATGCCTTTCTGAATAATTGTCTGCTGCTTGCTAAAGGAACTAGCCAAAAACATGCTCATGTGGGTTGCAGAGTATCTCATATGGGCATATCTCATTCTTATGTTTGCCAACACATGGCCTTTTTTTTATTTCAGTGCTAGTCTTTTGAGATTTTGAATATTAGAAATTAGTATGCATTTTTTTTTTGTATTTTCAGCTGTATCATGTCTGAACTTGCCTTTGTTCTCCAGCTTTTCACGTCAAATGTCGTCCGGAGCCTAATGAAAATGTGTCACATCACCCCCTATTCAGTACTGGATGACATGGCTACACCTGATTCACCTTTAGATAGTAAGTTGTGTCCGGTGTCCGCAAAGAATAATCTCTCTTCATCTACATGTTGGAAGATTTGACCCACATATCAATTCAATTAACAAAACAACTAAGTGTCATTTATGAATATTTTGTTTAAATATATCACCAAATCAAATATCATATAAGCCAACTAAATAGTCCTTTATCTCTATCTTTTGCTGCTGTCTTATTTGTTATATCTTATTGATTGTCTTTTTCAAGTAATTTGTTCTTACTTTTATATTTATATGTTAATGTTAAGGTTCAGTCTTTGCACCAATGTTGCTATGATGCTTTAACTTGAATATATTGTCTTGAAAGATGAAAGTTTTGTTTGGGATGATTTTCTTACTGCTTCTTAAAGTAAATTTTCTAGTATAAGAATTTTGATTTTGTACTAAAAAGCTGCTTTAAGAAGCAATAACAAAAATGTTCCAAACGAAGCTGAAGTTTAACCTCCTAGAAATTGTTGCGCAAGGTGTTTGAAAGTCTAGCCCAGTTTGAGGCCATCGATCCAATGCATGTATGAACTATGATGAAAACGCATTAAGTGGAAGTGAGAAAGGCCTGGCAAGCCACCGAGAAAGAATATAGATGTTGTGTGATCTTCAACCTTGGTGTTTCTAGGTGTTGTGTGGTCTCTGCTCTGGCTGACCATCAAGCTGATGAGACCAACTACAATATTTGACTTGTTAGTGATGTGTATGAGCCTAACTACATGATCCAGTGAAATATTTTAGTTATAAAATGCTTCTTTATTATTGTGTGTGCAGGTTGTTTGGCTTAGTTTATTTGGGTCATGGACTCATGGTGGTTGAGCATCCTTAATTTGGAACAATGGCTAACTCTTTGATGACCATGAGGACTAAGCCTACCTTGGTATTGCCTTGATTGTTGTTGAATTAGGGTTTAGGGTTCTTGTTTATTGACTGTTTCTTACTTCTTATAGTTGACTTATCTACAAGTGATTAGCCACACTTAGGTGTGATGGGAGGAGATGGCTTGAAGGTCGGGCAGGCTTGGCGTGTCTTGTTCTTTCCTTTGTTTCTTTTTGGGTCTTTTTAGCTTTAGGGCATCTCGAGCCGAAAAACTCATTTTACACTCTAAAATACAGTAAAATTTCAAAATAGCGTAATTCATCTCCAATCGAACTTCATTTATCTCATATTTTGTGCACTTCCTACGAAGGTAACCATCTATATCCTCTTTCGCGTGCTTTTCTCCTATTTTCCGCACTTTTTTTTTTTGGCAAATTCGCAAGCTAGGGTTTTTTTGGCGTAGGTGAACAGTTCGATGTCAATATTGGCGTCATAATGTTTACCTACCGAATTTTGACGTGAGATTTGGAGTTCAAATACAGCGAATGACGGACGACATATGGTGGCATGCAGTTCGATTGGCGATGATCTTAGAGCCAATTTTTTTAATAATCAGATCTACAATTAGAACTCATTGTTTGAAAATCAGGCTTGATGTTGAACAAAAAGAATGAGAGATTTAAGATTCAAATGTTCAAAAGTAGATTGAGTTCGGGTTGAGCCCGTTTGGAGGTGGACTTCTGCCTTTGATCCAATATGACACCACCATGCCACCTCTTAGGTGTGGCATACTATTCATTGGCCAATCATGTTGGCATATCAGTCTTATAGGGTTTTGGCTGTCTTCATGGACTAAATGTGTTCGGTTTTTATTTATTTATTTATTATTATTATTATTATTATTATTATTATTATTATTATTATTATTATTATTATTATTATTATTATTATTATTATTATTATTATTATTATTATTATTATTATTATTATTATTATTATACTATATCTATTTAAAAATGAATCTAATAATTTTAAAATTTTCTAATCACAGTATAAATAATTTTAACTTCATTTTTTTTCCTTTTATATTTATTGCTTATGTAGCTGTGCTCACTTATGATTGTTTTTTTGAGAAATTTAGAATTTGATTGAATTAGACAAATTTTAAATCTCTATTGTTCATAATCTCGCATAATTACTTACGCTCAAAACTTCATTGCATGCGAAGAGCTCAACCTTATTCTCAAACAAAGAGCTTGAACCTCACCCCTTAGGTAAAGCTCATCCTCATGCGAACCTCGTCCTCCTGCACGAAATTTCCAAGAACCTCTTTCAGCTCAACGACATCATCATGACCTATTTAATACATGAGTTTCCTCCCTTTCGATAACACATAAATTTTTTATCCTAGCATGAGGGCTATTAAAATTGGCTCAAGGGTCGGGTTCGGGTTCCAGAACAAACCCAACACTATTCGACCTGACCCGTTTTTAAAAACAAGTTTGTTTTTCGGATATGAACCCGACCCGCTTCGGGTTCGGGTCAACCCGACCCAACTAGTAAGACTATCGTTGCGCTTATTCAACCAAATCTAGTAAATCTGTCGCCGGCCTGAAGCAGGGAGAGGGGTTAGCGTCGTCGGGAGCAGGGAGAGGCGGCAGCGGCATTGGGCGCAGGGAAAGGGAGAGGCGACATTGTTGGCTTCAGGCGGCGAGAGAGGGAGAGGTGGGTTGTGTCGGATTAAGGCTAATGTTTGTACTTCAGACCAATGGCTTCAGGCAGCGGGAGAGGGAGAGGGGGAGAGGAAGAGAGGTTGACGACGGGATAGAGGGACGACAACATTGTCTTCAAGAGGCATTGAATCGTGACTGTTAGATTGCAAGAGCTCGCGTTGAATTGCAGTAACGGGAAAGCATACATTGTTTTCATTTATTGTTTACAGCGAGTCATGAGTCATTTACAAGTTTTCGGGTTAACCTGAATCCTACCCGTTTGTAATCGAAATTTCAAACATGAACATGAACCATCATAATCCAAAATTTTCAGGTTGAATTTTCGGATCATGTCAAATTTTGACACCCCTACCTAACACGATGTCGTACCTATAATGTGCCCTAACATAAATTTTGATTCACTTTCTACTCCTACAAACACTTAAAAAAAGGTAAATCACATAATTTATCTTACACTTTAAAAATGAAGAAGCATTACCCCTACATTTCCAATATATTTGCATGTTCAATACCTCAAACGGCCCCTTAGTTAAACCGGCCGGTTGCCCTATCAACGGTATCATTTAGCCCATGTCCGCTTAATCAACCAAGCCCATTCTCCCGTGCTTCCGCGTGTCCCGACTCTATTGGTTCCTCTTACGTGGCCAGGTTCTCCAGATGCGAAGCATAATTACGACTTATTAATCTCATTAATCCCGCAGTAAACCAAAATGAAATCCCACTGCAAGCGAAGAGGATCGATCGAAGACGAAATACCAGCGCGGGATTTCCTTTATTTTGTTGAAGATCTCTTCCTCGCTTTCCCTCCTCTTCTCCTTCTAACACGGAATGCTTAAGGCGGCGAAAACCTCGGGCTATGGCGGGCCTATTATCTTTCCTCTTATTGTCCTCTTCTGCCTTGCATCCGCTTTCCGATCTTCATTAGTGGCCGGTCAAGGTGCGTTCTTTTTCCGCTACTTAGGTTTTTGATGTATGTTTTTTTACTTTCAAGCCCTAGTTTTTTAAATGGAGTGGTTAAAGTGACGCGGTACCTCTATTGAGCTTGGTTTGGGATTGATTTGTGATGGTTTGCTATAGCGGTGTGATATTCAGTAAAACTGATTATTGTTTGGTGAAAATAGTGTTAAGATTGCTGTTGAGGTGCTGTAGAAGTTGTGAATTGTGATCATTTATACAAATTGTTGTAGGAATGATATGGGCTTGTTGAATGATTAAATTTTATGTTTTTCATTTTCATGTAGTTGTAATAAAGTATTTTAATCTTAATTGATATACAAATAATTAAAGCAAATATTGAATTAATATTTTGATATAGTGCTAAATCCATAATTTTTTTTGCGGGAAGTTAATCAAACTACTGTTCTAAGAAAGCTGCTATTTTTTTTAACATCGTAAAGTTATTTTTGTTGTTCAGGAAATCAGTATAAGCAGTCAACAATAAGCTATGCTAAACGAAACTTTGGCATTTCTATGTTATAAAGCACCTGTCTTATGTTTTTGTAGGAGCTAAAATCGTGTGATGTTTCTGATGGGTCAACGCATGTTAAGCACTGGGAAAAAACTCATTTTGTCAATCTTTTTTGGTCTTGCTAGTATGAAAAACCTTTGTTGCGTTTGTTGGATTGTGCATTATTGAATTGAAAAAGGTAGAACATAGTGGCTCTACTATTCTATTGGAAGTATGGTTTGTTTAGTTGCAATAAGAATGGATAATTACTTGTTTGTTCTCATTTATGGATGCGAATGTCTGCATATATCTTATTTGATTCAATTCTACTGGATATTGGATGACTAATATAGCCTTCAACTTCTAAAATGGAGTATCGGATTTAAATATTTGCTAAAAAAAATCCCACATTATAGGTATTGAAAGCTTCTCATTAAACGAATAAATTTGAAGAACTATCACAAACAAAATGATTTGAGAATGAGTAGAAAATGCTTTGTAGTGAACTAGTGATTGTGTTGATAAATGTTTTAGAGATCTTTAATTGATTATATGGGTTAATAGTTAAATAATTGTAATCATACTTGTCAGTGGCGAATGACCCACCATGGCGCAAAGATCCCTATAGAGCCATGACACATAATGCACGGCACGACACACACCTTTTTAAACATGGCGCATAATAGAAAATAATTTAAAAAATATATACATTAATATTAAACACCATTAAATAACAAATTATAGGTTGGTTAGAGCAAAATTTAGGCATAAATATCCTGTCAAATAGCAAAAATGACTTTCTTAAATCTTTCATAAACTTACATCAATAGATTTGAGCAGGATTTAAGCGTACTTTATCCTAAATCCTGCCTAATAACAAAAATGATAGCTTTAAATCCTACAAAAAAATTAAATCCTTTAAAGTTTTTTGATATTTTATTAATTTGAAGGTTAATTAATTAATGTTAGAGTTGCAAAAAAAAAAAAAAGATAACGTTGATGTTGGGAAATTATGTTTGATGATGGTACAACAAATTTGTAAGTCAGAATTTAGAGGGCTTGGAAAATTGATATAATGTATTTTGAACTAATTTTAATTATGAGAGCAGAAGAAATTATTAAATATTGATGAAGATGGTCTAATAAACTATGGATGCTAGATTGTGGTTTTGGGCAAGAAATACTAATGTAGACATGTATTGCATGCCATACTATTTACTTTTGCAGTAATAAAATAGATAAAGATTTAAGAACTTTAATTTGGTGCTCAAAATTGAAGAAGGATGTTGCTAATATTGTACTTAAGTGCGTATCTTGCCAGTTTGTTAAAGCAAAACTTTTAAAGCTTAATGGATTGCAACTACCTCTACTTATTCTTGAATGGATGTTGGAAAAAGTTATGATAGATCTAGGCAAGGGTATAATACAATATTGGTTGTTACTAATATATTATCTAAACTAGCATGTTTTTAACCATAAAGCAAGCATATTCAGCTGAGAAATTAGCAAATTTTTGTGTAAAATAAATAACGAGGTTGCATGGAATTCTTAATTTAATTGTATTAGATTGAGAAAAAAAGTTTGCATCCAGATTATGGAGAGAAGTGGAATTAGCTTATTGAATTGAGTTTCAATACAACTTTTCATCTTTAGATTGATGAATGGTCAGAGAGTGTGATTCAAATATTAGAAGATTTATTGACATTTGATGTATTGTAGCTTAGAGATAGTTGGGAAGATCATATGTCAAAGTATGAATAAGGATCGCATTAAATCTTAAGTTTATGAATATGTATGAATGTGAATTTCTGAGAATTTATCTCATGAAATGACATGGTTTGTTTTTCATGATTGAAAAATTACTAGAATATTCCAATACTTAAATTTTGATTCAATTTTTGTTGTATTAGGGTAAAGTTATGAGCGCAATAACAAAATCTGTAATTTAATAATGAGAGATTTCACCTTGAGGACCTCCTCACTCAATCACTCGTGGGATTAGCGGAAGAAGATGCTCCACACTAGGGAAGAGACCACCACTAGGAAGAAGGAACCTAGGAACTTTGTTGTTGGAAAGGTAGCCGGCGACGGTTGGATAGGTTGATGTCCCACGATCTTCCACGACCCGGGTGGGAGATGTTCTTCAATCTATGGTGCCAACGTGAAGATAATGCGGTCAAGATAGCTTTCCATGGAATCGTCGACGTCCCACTTTAGGTCAAAGAAGGGAGAGCGCAAAACATCCGTCCGTCCTTGGAGGAGAGGGGCGACTTGAGCAAGGTGAGGTGGGGGTGATTGGGATTAGTTGAGTGGTGGAGAATTAACTTAGAAAATTTTGAGTTAAATGTCAGATTTTCCAATGGGAGGGAGGAAGATTAATTTGAATTCAAAATACCCAAATTAATGCTGTGAGACGGGCAACGGTTTTCGGAGGGGATTGTGGGAGTATTAATTGAGGTTTGGATTTAATGGGAGAGAGAAAGCAAGGGGAAGGGGCCGGTCATAGGAGGAGGGAGGAAGCATGTCTAGATTCAATGTATGTGGCCCAAGGGAATTAATTGGATTGAAATCAAATCTGATTTTCAGTTCCAGATTTGATTGAAATTAGGATAACTTCATAATTGGGATTTTACTAATAGGAAGGTATTTGAAATTCAAAAGTTGATTGAATTCAAATAAATATCCTTTCCTAAATAGTAAGGGTGCATTTTAGGAAAGTATTCAAAGGCAATTTCAAATTTTGAAATTCAGAATTTTGGAGGCAAGGGGGCCGGCGGGTTAAAGCTTGGGAAGGAGAGGGGTGGTGGGGTGGAGGAGGGCCGTCGGGTTGGGGAAGTGGCCAGCAACTTGATTTATAGGAGGGAGGAGGAAAAATAAGATTAAAATAAAGAACCAAGAGTTCACCTGTTGGTGGGCTGTTGGGCACTCCGTTGGCCTCTCCTAGGCTTCACCACTCACATGAACTCACAAAGAGATCAACAAGAAAACAAGCTAGAATTTCATTCATCAAATCATCCATTTTACAATAGAAGAGGCCACAATATATAGGCCTAGAGAAATAAAACAACAATGACTCAAATGCCTCTTGGGCTACAACTCATGCAAACTCAAAAGAAAATGTACAATCGTAAATAACAAATAATACATAAAAGCATCAAAATAAAGACTGAGAATTATAGCCATCGATCTACAATTCCTACGCTGATAAACTCGTTGATAACGTCTGTCGATATCCTCATCACCACCTCTTAAGAATTAATTTTCCCAATTCTATATTTGAAATTTTCCTAACTTATTTTTAAATGAACCAGTGGGCTGACAAATTTAATTTTGGAAAATAATTGGAGTTAGCTGGTTAGGTCAATGGAGTAAGGAGGAGAAGAAAAGGAGAAAGAGTAGAAGCTTAGGGTGATTTTCCCTTATTTTAAGCAGCGGAGTATTCTTTACTTCATAAATCAAATTTTGAATTAGCTGTCTAAAGATTTTTATCATGATTTTTTGTACTTAAAGAATAGTTATTTAAACAAGACTAAATGTAGAAATTCTTATTACAGATTTTATTAAGTTTGCTTGGATTTGCTTACAAATGAATAATTTGTCTGCTCAAAATTTCTTATGAATTGAAAACTGTAATTTCATATTTTTGGAAAGATGTTTTGCAGAAAATTTCATTGTGTTTATCAACATTTTGATAATTTCCATGGATTTATTTTGCAAGAATATTGAAGTTTTTGGACAAGATAGGTAAAATCACACGATTATTCATATGTTTTACTCAAAATTAAACAAATATTAGTGATGAAATTTTATGATTTTTTTTTTTAAATTTTAATGAAACTTCATGAATATAAATTCATTAGGAAGGCTAAGATTAGTGTAATGAATTTAAAGTTAGAGATTATACTTAAATTTCAACATTAATGCAATAATTTTACAGTTTAATTTCAGATTTTTGTAAGATTTCATGGAGTCAATATTTACATTAACGTTTAAGACTAGATCAATATGAAAATTATAGAGCTGAAATTATGTCAATGTTTCACATGAAATTATTTGCGCATTTAATGCAGGAATTATATTTCTTAATTACAGATTTTTATTAATTTTTACATAAAATTTACCCTTGCATGCATATTAAAAAGATTTTGTATAACAGGAAAAATAAAAACTAAATTTTTTATGTAGATATAATGAGATTGGAAAGATTAAATTGAGGCTTTATGCTATGATTTAATATTTCTTTTTTTCAACTTATGCTCAAGGAGTTAAATAAGTTTTTCTTGAAGAAACATTAAAGATGTTATTGAGCCTATTTGTTATGCATGGCAAATTTATATTTCTTAAGTTCTAATAAATTCTTAATTGGAAGATTCAAATGCAGTATTCCTTAATTTTATAAAATTTAATCATGCTTACAATTTTTCATTTTATTTCATTTACTTTAGCATAGTTTTACTGTTATATATATGCTATTAAGTAAATATTACATTATGTTATTTAGAAAGAATTATGGTTTGAATTTGATAAATATAAAGTTATTCATGTGACTAATTGATTGGCTCAAATATGAAAGCAAGAACAAAATATAGACATAATGGTGATTTAAAGCTACTTGCACGAGAGGTACTGTTTATGGGCTTAATGAAGAATCAAAGATGAAGCTAGTGCGCTCTAATGATTGTACATGGGAAAATGAATTGCATGTAAGGTTTAACTTTCCTATTATGGTTAGGTCTAGGGGTGTCAATTTTTGACACGACACGAAACACGACCCGAACCGACCCGAAAAAATCCGGGTTCGGGTCAACCCAAACCCGAAACGGGTCGGGTTCGGGTTGAAGAAATCAACCCGTTTTAAAAAACGGGTCGGGTTCGGGTTGACACGGAAACACAAAATTGACCCGAAAGTGACACGAAAACTCATATTTGACCCGAAAATCCGAGTTTGACCCGTTTTTGACCCGAAAAACGAAGATTGACCCGATTTTTGACCCGAAAACTAGCAATTTTGGGTCAATTTCGTGTCATTCGTGTCGGGTCGGGTTGACCCGGACCCGAATCGGGTCGGGTTCGGGTCCGGAAACCTGACCCGTTTTTAGAAACGGGTCGGGTTCGGGTTGACCCGAACAGTTCCGGGTCAGTTCCGGGTTCGACCCGAACCCGACCCGTTGACCCGAATTGACACCCCTAGTTAGGTCTATGGGCCGGTTGGCAAATCTTACATAAGATCAAAAATATCAACTGTACAACCACATTTAATTTATGGTGAGGATGTTATCATTCAGTTTATGACAAGGATGGTATCATTTGGAGTGATCCAAGATACTTGAATGTAAAACTAGAAAGCCAATCATTTTCTGATTACATTGGTTTTAGTACAAAAGTATGCAGTGCTTATATCATTGCTCTTAATGATTTATCTGTTTTTTTTTTAATGAGCGTGACATGAATTCTAGGGAAACAAATCTTTGTTTATGTTGATTTATGTAGTAAGTTTTGTGTGACCTACTAAACATTGTGTTTAACCCAAAATATCTATTTATGTTTTTATTTTCAAGGGTAAAGAATCTGTAGAGAAGGCTTGGTGATACCAAGTTTTGTTGGTTTTATGCTCTCTTTTTACAAGTATCATGTAATATGTGTGATAAGAAGAATAGTAGTCATACATTATATGCATTACATTTAGAGTATGGATTTATGAGTTATTATATATGTTTTAATATTTAGTGGGTTTTGAATATGATTGAATGATAATGAAGAATGCTCTTCTTTTGATTAATGTTCTTGATTTTTGCAAGAAAATGTTAGATTTTGGACCACTAATTTATTTCAGCCGAGCATAACCTGCATTTAGAGTGGGCTACAATTAACTTTCTTAAATATCCAACTCTGCTGTATTCCATAGTTTTTTCGAATTCAATGGTTTTTTGTTCTCAGTTTGTATTGATACTTTGACCAACATCCCTATTAATGGATTTAGATATAACATTCTAATTTTTAAATTTCCTATAATGTTCCGTGAAATCTTCTCTGTTTTAGTGAATAGTTCTACGTTCGACAATGAGTTGCATATTTGATTCCATTAACTTGCTAATCCACTTTTTTATATTGCAGACAGCCAAGAAGTTGAAGCAGTGAACTTAGTGAAACGAGCATCGGAAAGAATAAAATTAAAACAGTATGGTGAAGCATTGGAACTTCTTAATGCTGCGATTGAGGCATATTCAAAACTTTCAGAAGCTTACCTGCAGCGAGCATTTGTTCTTCGTCACCTCTGCAGGTTCTTTTTATCATTGAGTTGATATTTGTTTTTCTCTGGTTTAGTGAATAGTTCTTTTAAAATTCTAGTTCAATGAAATTTGGATTCCACAATCCCGATCAACTATAAGATCCTCTCCTTCTTGGTACAAAGAAACCTCTTACGCTCTAATACTCTTTCTTAATAGCCAAGGGCCGTCCAAATCTAAGTTTCAAAAAAGTTCAAAACTTGCTACCAAAGTTTTTCAAAATTTTGTAGCAAAGAGATGAACTAAGATCTAACTCTTTTATGTGACAATTATAGCTGAGAAACCAAAAAATGAAAAACTTTAATGCTAGCTTATAAACTCAGTGGATCGCTAGCCCCAAGTTACTTTGGCCCATAGGTGATATTGGAGAGGATTAGAGTAGTAGCATATTGTTTGAGATTACCCCCAATGGCGACTATACATCTAGTGTTTCATGTGTCCCAGGCTCCCAGCTAAGGAAAGCGATTAGGGATCATGTAGCTAGTTCAGAGTTACTGGCGATACTGACAGAGGCCTTGGAGGTGGTATTAGAACCACTGTAACTGAGGGAGGTTTGCAAGGAATAAGATGTGAATAAGGCGGTTCTGATAAAATGGAGAAGCCTACCGAACTACGAAGAGAGTAAAGCATCGGTTTCCACCTTTTTACCTTGAGGACAAGGTGATTCTTTGGGAGAGGGCTAGTGTTAGACCGGTCTAGCCGACCCTAGCAAAAAGGCCGGCACTTGTTTATTCCGAGCAGGCCAAGGGTCCACCTATGCTTGATCTCGCCCCCCTTAGGGGCCCCACTAGTTGAGTCTGATTATAAAGAAGGGGGCGGTTTAGGACAGGAATTAAGTAGGAGAGGGCTGCTTAGTAATTTGCTATGTTTTCTTGTATGCTTTAAGTAGAAGAGTTGGGATTAGGGTTAGGGTTACCTATGTATTGTTGAATTTTCTGTTGGAGACTTTTGCGTGTTGGGCTCTAGCGACGTCTAGAGATTTGGGAGAGATGGATCCTCCCCTTGAATTGAGGCTCAATTGTATATTGCTATTTTCTTTCCGTTTCATCAATTAGTATGAGTTTTCTCGTTGTTTTGCTTGATTTGTTTTGAGTATCTTGGTGGAAGATCGCTGTAATCTCATGATTGTTAAGAAACACTAGTGTTCTGCTAGTGTTTCCTATCAAATTCAACTTTAGATGGATATCCATCATGCCTGGACAAAGTCTTTACTTTATCAGGCGAAGACAACATTGTCATGTGTTCTATACCTACAAAAAGTGAAGTTTCCAATTGGTCGATCCATGCATTGAGTTTCTTAGCATCATCTATTGCAACATATGTGAAAACCTACCCTTTGGCTTAAACTTTGGATATTCACATTCTTCCTTCATAAGTGGTAACCTTATCCTCTTCTTCATCCTTTCCTTCTAGTTTTAAATTTTGGGGTGGAAGGAGGGATACGGCTTGATCTACTAATCATTGTGGTGGTTGTTTGCATTCCCATCCATATCATTGTGTTCATCTAGTCCACCAGGGTAGCCACTTGCCGATTATATTTAGTGCACGATCATTGTTAGTCATTGATTTATTTATTTTTTTTCTCGTCTCCTTCTTGGTCCTCAATGTGATTTCAAGATGAGAAGCGACTCCCCATATCTTTATATCCTCTCTTTATTTGTATCATGTGCCAATGATCAAGTTGATGCCAATTTGATTTGTAGAAAACTTTCAATGTTATTGCTTAATCTTAGGATATGAGGTTAAAATGGAAAGAAAATATATGTAAATTTCATTTGGAGGAACTCTAGTGATCAATTAATCAAAGTAATGGTTAATTGAATTATTTTTTCTTTTGTAGGAACTCTAGTTTGCTGAAAACAACCAAAATTTTTGTTGTTTTTGTTCTTGAATTGCAATAGACAACAAAACATAGTTTGTTTCCTCTCTAAAACAAGTCACAACCAGTCCATGCGGCTCTTAGTGGTGGCCGCAACAAGACTCCAACAGTTTCTAGTGGCTTCAGGTTGCAACAGCAGTTGCTGGAAGTGGCAGAGGGGAAAATTGGTGGTTGCTAGTTATGTTATGAAGGCCGACTGCTGGTATAGGGTGAGAGAAGAGGTGAAAGGTGATTTGGGAGAATTCTAGTTTAATTTTGTTGTAGAATTTTAAGACTATTATTGGTAAAATTACACCATGAATTAGTTTTAAAATAATTCCTATTTATCTTAAATTCACTCCACAATAAAAGAAAAATAATTCTTTAACAAAATCCATAATCTAAATAAATAAATCTTCCTATAACAAACTAGAATATTAGATAATGCTAAATTTAATGGTAATTCCAATAGAATTTATCCTTATTTTGAATTTAAAATAAAAATTAAATTTATCCAAATAAATTTAAAAATTAAAAATCATCCTTTTAATTATTGTAATATGAATTTTAGTTTAATGATTTTTTGGAGCATTGATCTCCCTCATATGATGTCTTATTGATGTTCCGCTCATGCATTGGACTCTTGATAATATCCTTATTGATTACACCGTTATGATACAAAAACCAACACTACTAGCAATCCTATCAAGAAGCTGCTAAAATTCAATGAACAGGATCAGCTGTTTGCTTTACGATCTAATGCTCAAATGCTAGGGAAATTTTTTCTTATAGACTTCATTGAAGTGGATGTGTAGATTAATTATCTCTTCATGATTTGACCTCCAAGAATTATATGACCTTTTCTTTCTTTTTTGGTAATAGAATGAACTTAACCTCTTATTAATGTTATTTGTGAGAGGAAATTGGTACCTTCGTAGTTTTGAATCTTTGAATTCATTATTTGGCAAGCTAACATATTAACATGATATTTTGGTTGATGGTAAATGTTTCAGAAATTGTAGCTTTTTGTTAAAATCAAAATAATGCCTTACAGAATCTAACTTGCTTTGCACATAGGCTATATGTGCTGGTCGCACTCATGTGGAAATATATGAAAAATGAAGAAATTATTCATTACTTAATCTGGAGAATATTTTTATGTTGAAAAGGACGCCATTTAGAATCTTGCAGCTTCAATAAACAACATATTAATCATTTATTTTATTAGCACACATTCAAACTTTTCTATGTTGACATGGTTAAGCTAGGAATGACATTGATCTACTCATACATAATTTATGTTTGAAGGAAAAGAGTGAGAGTAAAGGATTCTTGCTTAACCTGTTATGCTTTTCTTTTATTCGTTTACCCTTGATCTAAGCTTCTTGATCCATCTCTGGTAGGAGCCTAGAAGGCAACACTCTATCAAGGATTTTATATGATATGATTGAAAATTTGTCTCAAGTGTTTAAGACAGTTTTTCTGGACTGCACAAATGAAATACCTGGTAATTTGAATTATGTAGATAGTTTCAAGTATAATTTTTTGTTACTCAGTCAGGTTTTTGGCTGTTGCAGATTTGAGGAATCTGAGAATAACTACAAAAAGGTTTTAGAGCTCAAGCCCGGAACTGCAATAGAGAAAGATCTTTCTCAGGTGTCTCAAGCAAAAAATGCACTGAACTCTGCACAGAATCTTTTCGAGTCTAGCGACTTTTCAAAAGCTTTGGAGTATATTGACAAAGTTGTCCTTGTTTTTTCCCCTGGTTGCGTAAAGGTGATTTTTTTTTGTTTTTGGGCTTGTTATGTTTGCTTAAATATTCCATCTTTGAGGCATTCTTTTCTCTGCAGGCAAAACATCTTAAAGTCAAGTTGCTTTTGGCTCTGAAGGACTATTCAAGCGCTATTTCAGAAACTGGTTACCTACTTAAAGAAGATGAGAACAATCTTGATGCGCTTTTACTACGTGGCCGTGCGTACTATTATTTAGCTGATCATGACATTGCGTCAAGGTTTACTTATTAAACATTTCAGATATGCATATTTGTTATAAGCCCATTTGTTGTCTTCTTTAATATCACGTTGAAATATTGAGATAAAAAATTAATGAAGACATATGAGATTGTTGAAATTAATATTTAATCATGTGTTTAATACAAATTTAAGAGTTTTAATATAAAAGACCAAAAAAAAAAAGTTAATTAATAGATCGAGTGCTTATTCTCTTCCTTATCCATTAGTGATTATTAACAGTTAAGTGCCTTATCTGTCCTATTATGTTACCACTGTATGTAATAAGAATGATAATAATATCAACAATTAACTGATTGCTAAGTTGCTGCTGATTAATTTGGTAATTAGGTCATTTTCATTATTAATTTACCTTTAAATTAAGAAGAGTGCGAGAGAGACAGAAGCCGAGATAAAGTGATATTAACGAGTCCACTCGAAACAGTGCAAGCATGCTTATCCTGGGGCTGTTTTCCTTTAGTTGGTAAAAGTCAGGATTAGCTTAGCTTAGCTTTTCTGAAGAGCTGTTTTTGTGTTCGGTGGGCCTAATTGTTTAAGCCAATTTAATCTTAATCTTAAACTATACAGTCTAAAGAAAATGACATGGAAAGTCTTGTCATTTTGAATGATAGAAATGCAATATTTGTATTTTCATTATTCTTCTCTGTAGGCACTATCAGAAGGGACTTCGTCTTGACCCAGAGCACAACGAACTAAAGAAAGCATATTTTGGGTTGAAAAATTTACTCAAAAAGACAAAAAATGTAAGGTTTTTTCTCCCTGTACGGGTGGATCTTGATTTTTTCTATCTTATTAGCTTTACATTTTATGTTCCTTATTTTAACGAATATCTGTCTGTCACATTGGCTTGCTTCAGGCAGAAGATAATGCTGAGAAGGGCAAATTACGTGCTGCTGTGGAAGATTTCAAGTCAGCCCTTGCATTGGACCCTAGTCATACTGCACATAATGTAAATCTTTATCTTGGTTTGTGTAAGGTGTTGGTCAAGCTTGGGAGAGGAAACGATGCAGTCAGCAGTTGCACAGAAGCACTGAACATTGATGAAGAGCTTGCTGAAGCCTTGACACAGGTCAGATCATTTTTTATACATTTGGTACTACTAAAATTAAGCAATGAATCATTCACCGCACTTTTAAAAACTAGTTGTTGGATGATAAAAAATAGATTAACTGGGATTTTTTTATTAGCTTTCTTTGTTGTTAATCATGACTTTATCCTCAAAAGAAACCTTTTTTTGTTGTGCAGGCATGCTTCTTGAGATAGAATTCTTGATATTCTTTTTAATCCCTTAAAGTCCTTAAAATGTTGTACCATGCTGCTTATTTACTCAGATTTCACAAAGTAGTTTTCAGCAAATTAACCTTTTCCTAGTTAATTTCCAAAGTTGCTTTCTATATGGTTTAGACCTTATAATTACTTTTAACTAGAAAAGAAATTTCAAACAAGGAGCAATATTTACTACTTTTCCTCCCAGAGGTCCCCTCATTTCGTAGAACCTTGCTTTGCAGAAAGAAAACCCAAGTAGGTTTGAAAGAACAATCGTAAGGTTTATCTGTTAGGAGAATTATCATGTCATTAGGCTAGTAGCTTCAACAGCATTTAAGATAAGTTTCTTTTATTATTCCAAAGTAAACTTGTGCATGTCTGTGTTTTTCTAGAATGAAGATGGCTATATGGTATGAATCAACGACCTTCAACAAATGGGTCATCTCTCTATATGTGATGGTGACATTTTAGGATTCATTGACAAGACGTTCACAAAGTATTGTTATGTGTAATGTGATGGTAATTTAGAATTGCAAGAAGAATAGAGTCATGGAATCTCTGATGGCCTAGGTTAGATGCATTTCTCACCCATTAGATTGTACAATTCTCATGAGTCCTGGTAACTATAGCTAGATTTGTTTGAGATATTATGATATGATTACTCCCTCCCTAAAGTTTAGCTATTATTAACCATCATCTTCTTCACCATGCTCATATTATTATTTTTCCAATTCTTTGGGGTTGACTTTATGAATTTTCTTTTTCTATTCATCCTTATTGAGTGTTACATGAGATGTTGGGCCAATTTTATATAAATTTTTTTTCACAACTTCTATCCATGTTATCTTTAGTTTATCTCTGTCTTTCTAGTTCTTTTACATCAATTTATCTATCCACCCAGTTGATCCATCTTCTACCCTTTGTTGTGCATGTCTGAACCATTTAGGTTTATTTTACAATCTTATATTTATTAAATGCTACTCTTATCATTCATAGAATGTAATCAATTCTAAATCTATTCCTCTTTGGTTTGTTACACATCCAATTTTGGCATTCTTATTTCTTCAATACTCAATTTAGTTATCAATGATTTTTTTTCTTCTTAAGTCTTAGATATATAAAACATAGTGGACATAATTGTAGTTTTATTTAGGAGTTGTTTTGTTACATGTTTTAGGGATGCATGCAACATTTTATTTTGAGAATGTAGAGTAAAATAATTACAATGTATACATATTACTGTAAGTTATTTGTTGACTATAAAATAAATAAAAGTAAATTATTTTTCTCTATTTTGCATATTAAGCAAATATGGTAAATATACAAATTTTATTGGAGCTTTGAGGGAGGGGAAGGATGAGTTGGAGTGGGGAGAGTCTAATTTGGAGGAGGGGTACGTAGATTTGGAAGAGTTCGAGATGACGGAAGCTGCAGGGCTGGAGAGAAAGAAATAAGCCAGAGGTGGCTTAGTGATGGAGTGATCCAAGAAGTTGAGCTTGAATGTGAGGTCATAGGATGTGTTAACATCATGGAAGCAAGAGGGGGGTGAGTGTTGTAGTGGTGTGAGTGAAAGTCAAGAGCTAGTCTAGGGAGGGAGTAATCATATCATAACATCTCAAACACATGTGCGGAGCCGGGACTGATTAGTTAGGGCTACCAGGATTATGCACGAGTTTTTTTAATTTCGCTCGAATTGAGGAATTTTGAAATGTAGGTAGAAGTGCACTTTTGGGGCATTTTTAATGCCTTCAAATTTTATTTAAAATTTTATACATGTTAAACCAAACACTAAAAAGAGTAGAATGCATGGGGAAAAAAAACAGCGCACCCATGTTACTTGTAAAAAGGCTTTTATAATGTATTTTAAATTCTCCACAGTATTCTTTTTTCACATGACACTTCTGAGGCATTTATAAGTAATAAGAAGTCCGTTTCTGATTTAAAAGTATTGCTTTTCTTGTTTTAAAATATGCATTATCAATTACAGTATCATATGCTAATGTGAAAGTAAGTATAACTCTCTTCTCACATTTTTATCTCCTACTCCATGCCCACTGAATTCTCTTCTAATAATCTATAGTCTATTTAAGTCGCCTCAAATGATTATACTTTCTCCTTGAGGTGTACTTTTTAATTTTTCATCTCTATCCTCCAAAAATTAAAATTTTCACTCAATTTCTCAATCCTATTTGAGGTGCATAAAATCTAATCATATTTATTGACATTTAACTCAATAGCGATCATTGTATTACTAATCCTATTATCAATAATTTATCTTTCAAATCTCAATCCATTACCCTTAACCTGTTTTTTAACTCACTCTGATTTTTGATCCTCAACGTATACTATCTTAAAATATTCTCAATGTATACTATCTTAAAGTATTCCACATTAGAGTTGCAATCAAATAGAGGCGAACGAACTGTTCTATACTTGAAATAAAAAAATTTCGATTCTTAGTGAATCTGTGAGTTGATTAGGGTCCAATCTCTTAATTTTAATTCCTAAATTATATATATATATATATATATATATATGAGTGAAAGCAGAAATAAATGTTAATTTCTTACATGAATTGAATTGAGTTGAATAAAACTAATTTTGGTTAATTGAAGTTTGAGTGAGTTTTGAGTTTTGAACAAAATTGGCAACCCTATTCCCCAATGGCCATCGATTTCTCCCCATTTGAATTGCTTTGTTACAAGCAAATAATATTGATTCTACTAATCATTGTATCTACTACTTTCCTTTTCTTTCCATTCAAGCTTCTCAAATTTCACTTAACAAATCTAAGTTTAAGGCCTAATCAATTATTACCTACTTTTCAACACAATTAGCTTTACTTGTGACAGTGTTTGTCCCGGACAACCCTTGAGCATTTTTTTCTTTTTTCCATTCTATTAGATCCATTTCATGAACTAGATGGTTTTATGATTTTCTCTGAACCTGATATCAACTCAACTTTTCTCGTCTATGCATAGGACCGAGAATGTCGTTTTTATGATTTATCTAACTATTAACCAGGGTACAAAAATTTATGACGAATAATGGTCTACATACTTCATTTCCCATTTCTAATATTAAACCATTTGGTTTATTAGTATATAAATGTTTACAGAATTCTATTAGCTTATACTAAATGGTCTCATGAACCTTATGCCAAACAATCTACTGTGTCCAGGGCTGAAGCTCCATTGTTTATTAGCCATCTTTCGGCATGTGACAGCTTGAGATATTTCATCCTTGCTAAATTTTATTTTCAAATCCTATGCCTGTGTTTTGACTTCATAATTTTCTTCCACAGCGTGGTGAAGCCAAACTCATAGTGGAAGATTGGGAAGGGGCTGTTGAGGATTTGCAAGCAGCAGCTAAAAAATCTCCAGAGGTTTGGAATATGTTTTTGGAATGAAATTTAAAGCTTCTAATTTTTTTTTTTTAACATGTTTGCTTGTTCCACTTTTTCATGAACGCTACTTGCATATGCCACGAGGTTTATGCAGTGCAAACTTGTTTGCTTGTTGATTAATAAACTCTGATAATTTTTGGATAAATGTTAATTATGCTGCTCATTTTCTTTCCAAGTTGGGTGCAATGGATACTGTATTTGTCCTAAAATAGGGTAAAAATTATTTTTCCAGGCAATTAGATTGTCATTTTTATATTAGAAATGGTTTTAAATCATGACCCTTCACTATTAAGAGCTCAAACATATGATTCTTGTACCTTTAATTAACTTTCTCGATCATGAACAACATCAAAATTGGTGTCATGGCCTCGTTTCCATCATATAGATTTTATGCTTATGTTTTTTTTTTCTTTTATTATGTTAATAGAGTATGATATTCTTATAGACAATATACGAAATGAGCATATACGTGAAAAGATTGGAGTAGCTCCATTGGCAGATAAGATCAGAGAGAGTCGCCTTTGATGGTTTGGTCACATAAAATGGCGGCCTTCCGATGACCCGGTTAGGGGAGTAGATGTATTAGATTTAACCTATGCTAAGAAAGGTAGAGGTAGACCTAAATAGACTCGGTTAGAAAATATTAGAAATAACCTTTCTATATTAGATCTAAATAAGAATTTTACTTTTAACTTGACATAATGGAGAAAAAAGGATTCATGTAGTTGATCCCACTTAGTGATAAAAGCTTGACGATGTTGTTGTATGTTAAATCAAGAAAATTATTTACCCTATATATGTATCAAACTTGTCAGGTTTAAGTTTAAAGCATCATATGTTTCATATGTTAAGAAAACTATATTTGTATGTGCTTTTCAATTTATTTTTTTCTCATTGGATTTTTCTTATCTTTGTTAAATGGACTTTGTACAAGGATTTCTTCTTAACATACTAAATTCCTTTATAATGATCTTTAATTGACAGGATATGAATATTAGAGAAGCACTTCATAGAGCTGAAAAGGCTTTGAAGTTAAGCAAACGCAAGGACTGGTACAAGATCCTTGGGATTTCAAAAACTGCTTCCATTGCAGAGATCAAACGTGCCTATAAGAAGCTTGCCTTACAGTGGCATCCTGATAAGAACGTGGAAAACAGAGAAGAAGCAGAGACTAAATTTCGTGAAATAGCAGCTGCATATGAGGTAAGCGAGTATAATTTTATCAGTAATACCGTTTATGATTCAATCTATTTAACTGCTTTTAATCAGTTTGGCAGAACTTAACCTGTCTCACTTGCTTAGATTTTTACTTTAAATTAAAAAAAAACAAAAGATTCTTTTGCACACTACGACTTATTTGAGGGCAATGCTACCAATATAGGGTATTAAAATAACTTCAAACAGTATAAATGGGCGACTTTTTATTGCTTTTGTGATAGGAAAAGTAGAGAAAAAATAGTCTGTTTGGACAAAATATTAGACTACTTTCTTTTTCAGAATATATTTTTAGAAAAAAACTTTTTTTGAAAGAACTCTAGCTGAGAAAACTGCTTTTAAAAAGTTCTGACTGCAGAAACATAAATCTGCTTCAAATGAAGCTTAGCCATGTCTGTTAGCCAAGTCAAGTAAATCATCTTTACCAAACACTCCTGTTGTGGCGTTCTTTTTTTCTCACCTTCATTCAGAACAGTTTTTTTGTCTATTTTTGTGGTAGGAAAAATAGTTAGATTTTTTTTTATTTGGATGAAAATATTATATATTTATTAATGATTTTTTACTTGGATTTACTTCTAGAAAACAGATAGAAACTGTCAGATAAATCCTAACTCTATTTTGCATCAGTTTCTATCATTTGAAAAATTATTCTGCACGGAGATCGGACATAGAATATCGTCCGGAGACCAACCAAAATTTACCACGTCAGTGGTACCGAGCACAGGATGATGTGGCACATTCGGGTTGATCTCCGGATTACGTTCGGCGTCCGCACAGAATAATTTTTTCATTTTTTCACGTGCTTGATATCTTAACTAGCTATGCCAAACATAGCTTCATCTAATATCTTATTAGACTTCTCTCTTCATCAAAACACTTCCTTTTCACACATCTAATCTCTCTCTCTCTCTCTCTCTCTCTCTCTATCTCTCTCATATATTCGTACAAGGTTCTTGGCGATGATGAGAAGCGTGTGAGATACGACAGAGGAGAAGACATAGAGAACATGGGAATGGACATGGGAGGTGCTGGTTTTAACCCATTTGGTGGTGGTGGTGGACAACAGTTCACCTTCCAGTTTGAAGGTGGATTCCCAGGAGGAGGTTTTCCTGGTGGATTTGGTTTCAATTTTTAACATAATTTATATAATTTTTTTTCTTCTTTTAAATCAAGTTTACAGCTTCTGCTTATCAGAAAGCTGAGGGCTTTGATAGGAGTAAATGGAAGTAGGACACAGGAGAGGCAAAGGATGTTTAGAAAATGGTTTGGGTTCCAATCATGTCAAAAGAATTTTGAACCCATGAGAGGATATGAAGACAATTTTTTCTTCTTTTATTGAGACCTGTACCAATTGATAAATTTTTTATATGCGGAGACCGGATAATGCAGAACGTCATCCGGAGATTAATCAGAATGTGTCACGTCTGCGGTACCGAGCAGTACTGAGCAGTGGTACTGAGCACAGGATGATGTGGCACATTCTAATTGGTCTCCGGATGACGTTCGGCGTTTGCACAGAATAATTTTTCTTACAGAATTAGACCTTCCCCATCTAAAGAAACAGATTCTTCAATGTTGTATTGGTTTTTTTATTTTTCTGGAAAAAGCCCGTTTTTTGTTAATTTTATGGTATGAAAAGCATTGGTCTGGTGCTTATTTTCTCGGTTCTCTCTGTCATTGTAGGTTTGTGGATTTTCTCTATAACACCAATAGTTTTCTATAGCAAATTTTATTTTGCTGTTTGAGGTCTCTCAGTGCAAAAATGGTAAATTTGTAATGAATATTTTAACCTATAATAAATTTTATTTTAAAAATAAAAGAATAAATTAAATATTATATTTTAAAAAAATTAGTATATGATATACAATTATTATTATTTTTAATTTCTCGTAGGTTATTTTCTTGAAAATTTTACTTATTCCAATAAAGCGAAAATATTTTTTTTTCTTAATTTTTAATTTTATAACCATGGATCAAACGATGATACAAGAATTAGAATTTCTCTCTCTCAATTTTTGGATTTAAAAAAATTGACAAAAAAATATGTGAGGATACAAAAATCAAATTTTAGATAGAATATATAAAATAATTATTGAGTTTATTTTAAAATAAATATTATGTATGAGGAGTCAATTAAAAATTTATCTGTATTTTTCTCAAAATAAATTTAATAATTTTGAGATTTATCTTTAAAATAAAAAATAGTTAAGCTAATTTTTTTCCTGCCAAATTATTCAAATTCTTATTTTTCCTCCAAATAAAATAACTTAAAAAAAAGAAAAAAAACTCTAAAACTTTCCTCATTACATTTCTTAAAATAAGAGCACATAATTAATTTTATTACATTGTGGTTCAATAAATAATAAATTATTCCAATATAGAGGAGGAGAGGGCCATCCTTTAATAATGAAATAATTGTGAAATTTTAGATTAATATTGATTTTTATTGATTATTTTGATCAAACATTATTAGTAAATTGTTATCTATGGCTTATGCATCACTAATAAATGTATTCAATTAAGCACAAATTTTGAAGTATTAGTTTAGAAACTTCAAAGATTAAATTTTGGATAAGTACAACTTCATCTTTAACAAATTTATAATCAAAATGTCAACATCTATTAGATGAGTTTAGTTATTTGTTATTTTGTCGATTGCTTTATCACATGTGATCAGTTTAACTCAAAATAGAACACATCGTTCACATTAGGTTAAGATGCGAGACGAGTTAACATAGGACTTCGAAGAAGACAAGTAATGGTTAGTAACAAAACGAAGAGCAACAAAGAAGTCTGTGATGAAACGAGTGGAGATCGAAGATAAATAAGATACGAGATAATTAAACCAAATCAAAGCTTAGGAATTTAATTTTTGTGAGTTTATCAAGATTATGATGAGTGATAATTTTGCCTACATCATAAATCTAATTAATTCATCTCTATAATATAGTTTATATGAAAGAATAAAGTTTTGTAGTAATTATGAAGATAAAATATTAAAATTTAAAGATATTCTTATTAACAATTGAAGTTGTTTGCACTCATAAATAAAATATTGAAAATAAGATCAAACATAGAATCAAAAGTTGAAAATGTTTAATATTCAAATATTTATGGTTGAATCTATTGATATATAATAAATTAAATGATTATTTAATAATTACTAAAAAATCTGAATAAATAAAATTAAAATGAATTATTTTATACAATATTATACACCCACATGAAATAAATTACATAGATTTTGATAGAACAACTTTGTATATTTAAACAACATGAGAAAATAGAAGTTAAGTACCATCAAATTTATGATAAATTATATGACTAACATCTTCTTCTTTAGCCATAATCTATTAGAATTCTCCTAACAATTATAGAATCAATGCTCTAAGAATCAATTTGAAAAGCATATAAAACAAAATTAAAATGAGCATTTAAAATGAGTTGACAAATTCAATTAAACTACCAATGATTAGAGCTACTTTAGAAAGCATTAAAAAGACTATCCCAAATGAGGCCTAAGGCATCATTTGGGTCAACTTTCTTACTGCTTTATAAAGCTGTAGTAGAAAGTAATTTTTTAAAAACTATTGATAGTTTTCCAGCACAATTATTTTTAAAGCAACGACCAAATAAAAATTATGAATGTGGTCTAAAAAAGCAAAACAGTAAAAAAGAACTATCTCATAAACAAAAGAAGCCTAAAGTTTTTTTAGTTAAAACCCGCAGAGGGGCCTACACGTTAATATAAAAATCAGGTTACAGAGTTCATATGGAAACCATCAGCTCACTACTGCTCAAACGAGCTACAAAATAAAGAGAAGGAAAACCTACGAGCCAATTATCTCCGCTAGAAAAAGTTACAAGGCACCCTAGTAACATTTAATGATGCTATAGTCAAGCATCCAAAAAAGAAAGATCAAAAGATAACACAATAAAGCCTAATCTTTATGCCAAAAAACTTGATGTCATTCCTAACCAGATCCATCTGCAAAAAAGAAAAAAACTACAAAGAAGAAGACTATACCAAAATAAAGTATTAGCAAAAAATATATGAAAAAAGGGATAAATAAGGAAACAATAGACAAAATGGATCCAAGTGAGGCCATTCTCAGAATTTAGATCACACGGGCTAAGAAAACTGTCATTGATATTAGCTTCATTAGGAATGTCCACAAGCCATTCAATCCTACCAAAGGGACTAGCCAAATCACTATCAAGGTTAATAGCCAACCAAAAATTAAAATTAAAGGCAGACCCGCACAATAAACTATAAGCAAGAAGGTAAATAACACAAGTGCCAGTAAAAGAAAGCAGGCCTAAGCAGCTCCTCCCAAACATCCACTGAAAAGGGTCCAGTCTAAGCTTAACCGAGAAATAAAGCTGGAACAAAAAACTACTCCCAATAATCCCATGAAACGGTTCCAGGAAAAACAGCCCCGATAACCTGGGGGAAGCAATAAAAAACCTGCAGTAAGACATAAAGAGCCCAGCACTAAAAGGTACCCCAGCTATCATCCCACCATTACCCCCAACACCGAACCAAGTAGGAGAGCAATAATGGGACAAACCCTCAGCACCAGCACGCCGAAAATCATAGCCCCGATCTAAATCCACAAGAACAAAAGAGACACAGGGACAAATCCAAACACTACAAAACAACACCCAGGACTGCCAGAAATGAGACCAACAACCGAAAAGAATCCCTAAAGCAGGTAGAAGGAAAATAAATAACCACAACCAGCAGAACTTCCCAATAGTACACAAAAAATAGAAACTACAATAATAATTAGGGATGATCCAGAAATACAACATCTGTCAGCAAACAGAAAAGGCCAGGGAACAAATCAACCATAATAGCAAAAGTCAAAACACAAGGTTAAGTGTTAATATAGGGTGTCCAACACACATATATCAAGGTAGAGCATCCCCTTAAGAGGAACAGGTATAGTAGACTGAAAAAATCAGTAAGACAACCAAGATTACAACCATAATTAGCAAGCCAAGAAGCACAGGAATTGCCAGCCATACCAACATGACAAAAGGAATTGTTCACAGATAACAGCAACCTTTTAATTTCCCTAATAACATAGAAGATATTGGGGCTACAACAACCATCCTCCAAATCTTGAAAATGAGTGATGTTAAAACCAAAATTCACTTCAATAATCAACTTAATTAAGTTTAGAGAGATGCAGAGTTGGATCCCATAAAGAATAGCCATATTAAGAGCATAATTAGTATTACCATTATGAACAGGGCCCGCAAAAGTAACAATAAGATGACCATTACTACCCTGGATCAGACCACCTCAACCACCACCAAAATCCATATAAATACCATCAACATTAAGTTTAAAGAAGTTAGGAGAGGGCTTAATCCAATAAACAACATTAGTAGCAGAGGGGGCCTTCTTTTAACATATCCCTAAAGAGAAGCTAATATGAAAACATTTTTTAAAACTCTTAATAGTAAGCAAATTGACAACCACAAGAGCTAAGATCTTGTCCTTTACCCTTTGAATAACATTGAGGTGGTTCATCTTAACTCCATTGAACATGGAGTTATTCCTCTTCAACCAAAGAAACCAAAGAATAAGAGAAGGTATAATATTGCGTATATGACCTTTAGTATCAATAAACCAAGAATTAAGTAATAGGTAAAGGGGAAGATGAGAATTAAAAAAATTTAACTGAAATAAGTCATCAAAATAAACCCAAGTCCTAACAGCCACAGGGCCAGAAACAAACACATGATGCATATTTTCCATGTGGAGACAACATTGGTATTTAGAAGCTATACTGAAACCTTTTTTAATGAGATTGTCCTCCGTAGGGATAAATTTATGAAGAACTCTCCAAACAAACACAGAAACCGAAGACGGGATACTCTTATGCCAAATGTTAGCAAAAATAATGTCCAAGTTCCCTTTAATTCTAAAAGAGTGCCAAGCATTTTTTAAGGTGAAAACCCCCATCTTTGAAAAAATCACACAAAATAATATCTTTGGAAGTAATATTAATAGGCCTGTTTAAAATACGCAAAATAATGCAATCAGGGATCCAATTAGAGAGCTTCTCATAATCCCAACAATTCTCATTGAAGAAAAAATTAACTTTAACAGAAGTAGAAGAAGTCGAATTCAAGATATAATCAATAGAATCTTTACCAAGCCATTTATCCTGCCAGAAAAAGATGTTACCTTCTCCAAGTCCCCATGTGATAAAGGGCTCCACCTCCCATTTGATCTTATAAAGCCTTTTCCAAACTTTAGAATCCCCAGGTTTAGGAGAAATATTGATAGGGTGCTTATCCACATAATATTTAGCAATCATAAAGTTAGCCCAAAGATTCTCATTAGAACGCAAATTATACCACAGTTTAAAGGAGGAAGCCTTAGCCAGGTCCTGAAGATTCTTATAGCCAAGACCATTTTCAGCCAAAACACCACAACATTTCTCCCACGAAGCCCAAATAATATTAGAAGAAGAAAAAGTACCTTTAAAAAAAAAACTTGTTAATAATCTTGTGGATCCTATTACAAACAGTTTGAGTAGAAAAAATAGTTTGAAACATATAAACAAGTAAGGCGCAAAGAACACTTTTGATTAAGGTCACACTTCTACC